AGAGTATTGTAGATTTTAGTAATAAGGCCTTTGTCTGATGGATATCATATCATTCTCTAGTATCAATCACATCAAACAGTGTTGTACAATTGCAACCCCAATCAATTTCAAAACATTCTTTTCCTTCTTGAACTCCTTGACATCAGTTCCCTTTACGCCCCCCCCAACAATCACTGTATCCCCTAGAATCTCTTATTCTAATTGCTGTCCCTATAGGTTTGTAAAAACATGTAACAAAAATTCAAGTGCGTCACCCCTAATAACAGAACATATGTGACATAAACCTCAATATGAACAAATATTGAAATATAGAAACACAAAAATACAGAAAGATGTTAAATGCAGCATCAGGCTTAATATGCGTCAGAGGGGGGAATCAACTGACAAGGTTGTAACCATTCAAATCAGGTTTATCATTTTGATATTCTATTGTCATCTCTCCGATGCACTCTATTTGCTAACCACTTCTTCCTATCCCTCTATTTTTTTTTTAACATTTTATTAGGGGCTCATACAACTGTTATCCCAATCCATACACACACACATCAATTGTGTAAAGCGCATTTGTACATCGTTTCTCAAAACATTTTCTCTCCATTTAAACCCCCGACATTAGGTCCTCATTTATGGACAGAGGGAAATCACTAGAGGCTTGTTTTCTATGTAGATCCCACAAATGTAACTTGGGCTCCCACTGTCATCCATAGCCTTCTGCAAACCAGATTCTCACAAATTAGGCTCTGAAACTTTTTCCTCCTTCAACTTCAGATTATATAATTTGCAATCCTGCAGTCACTGGTGGTGTGCTTCTCCCATGGGGACTTAATCGATAACTCAACTTGATGACTTCTTGTTTGGAAACAAAGCTTTAAGACCAGATGCTATTTTATCTGATAGCCAGGCACCATCTAATTTTTTCTCCACATTTGGCTGTGGCACACATATCTTCTGTGTTCCCTTCTGAGGGCGAGTATAGAACAAGGACGTGATGTAAGAACTAATTGTTCTTAATTGGAGCTAGAATTCAGTGCGAACCCAAAACCCATTCCTGGATCTATGTTTGTTTTGTTTTTTAATCTGTCTTTGTCTCCCTTTCAAAAACTTCTTGTTAATTTATGGTAGAAAGTCTTATATCTATGGAACAGAGATTTATTGATTTATGTCTATGAAACAGAAAGAAAAATATATCTTTATTTCTTAAATAAACTTACCCTTCTGTAGATTCGTGGTACTCTGAAGAGCTGGACAAAGTTGTGGTGTGTGTTGAAACCTGGAGTTCTCCTGATATATAAAACCCAAAAAAATGGTCAGTGGGTAGGGACCGTTCTCTTGAATGCCTGTGAAATCATTGAACGTCCATCAAAGAAGGATGGCTTTTGTTTCAAGTTGTTTCATCCTCTGGAGCAATCTATTTGGGCAGTGAAGGTGAGTTGTTATTATTTCTTGCAAAAAGTAAAAGGTAAGGATGATAATCTATGAACAGGGCTGAGATAAAACAGAACTTAGAATAGCTTTAATTTAATAATTGCTGCCTTCCGATAGGACTTCAGAATTTCTTTCTGTTTCAAGCACATGGTTCCCCTTTCTCTTTCTACCCTACAGTGAAATGTGCAGCAAAAAGTTTTGTTTACCTTTATGATCTAGCATATTTTAATACAAAAAAACATGCACCTAGCAATGAGCAAGATTTGAAATCCAGAAGTCGGACTCCAGGACTGGTTCTAGGAAATGGGTCATAAATTATAATTCTGTTTGAAAGTACTCAGGATTCATCAAAAATATATTGATATTTTTCCTATTTCTTCATTTTGATTTTCCTAATGTTTATGCTTATTACAATTACTTTTATCAAAACTACTTTTTTTAAAAAAATCATTTTATTGGGGGCTCATACAACTCTTATCACAATCCAT